GGGGGGGTGTTACAGCAGGCCAGGGCAACACGTCAACGTTCTGCTGGGCCAGAAAGTCCATATAGACACCAGCTGTGTGTGACCTGGCGTTGTACTGCTGTAGCGTAATGTGACGTTGCTGCCCTTGCACGAATGGAACGACGTGGGTCCGGAGGATCTCGTTACATTAACGTAACGCGTTCAAATTCCCGTTAACAACCACCAGAGGCGTTCTCCCGTTGGCTATGATGCCGCGCCAAATCATAACGCTGCTTCCGCCGAAAGAACCTCGTTGTACCACATATGCGTCACAGAAACGTTCTCCAACGCGACGATACACTCTGGAACGGCCGTCACTACTATCCAGGTGGACTCGTCCGTAAACAAAATGCCTGCCCAATCCCATCGTCCAGACGTGCTACACGCTAACGTGGCAGAATAACTGGGCGGATTACAGGACGTCGCGGACGGATAGCTCGTTCACGCAATCGGTTCCGTACAGTTTCAGGGCTTATTGGTAGCAACCCAGGGATTGTCCGTGCAGTCAAACTTGCCGTTTGGGAGCGCTTTCGCAAATGGACAAGCCGAATTTGGTTGTCCTGTTGACGTGACGTCACTGGTGGACATCCCGCACGAGGTCGATCGCCGACTGTTGATGTCGTCTCCACAAATCCCGGATTGTGTTTCGATGGACATGAAAACGTGTAGAGACAACGGCTTGGTCCATACCAGCTTGAAGCATACCAATAATCCGGAGGCGGTCATTTTCATTGCGCCTCGGCATAGCATTAAACACAAATTAAAACGTTATAAAGCTGTTTACTGTTCACTGGTCTCAACAGAGTGACCCAACAGTTGAAATATAAACTTTCATTGTCGAATTGGATGGCTGGACGGGAAAAACGTGCAAACTGGTCAACGCCTATAGAGAGCAAACTGCAAGGGAAAAATATTCAGTGACACACGGATAGTGTGTATCTGTCATACTCGGTCATGTGTGTGAAGTTGCATGTATATACAGTTGGTAATACATGTTCTATAACAATTTTCCGCATGCACAGTTTCTTTTTTCCGCTAGTATATATGGAATCATTCAAAACTTAGGTACTGATACTATTTCTAGACCCATTTGGATTCGATAATTGAAAGAAAAGACTCCTTTCAAATTCCATGTTCAAGGTTCTGGCTCAAGGTGAATTCCTATTTAAATATAAATTTAACCCATGGGAAATCCCCTCGATGTGAAACCTTTCAAACTTGACTTTTCCCTCCGAAAAGCAACGTTAGAAACTTGTTTGTTATTCTGAATAACGATAACTGGCAAACCTGATTAAGCCATCTATTTGAGAAACTGTTTAATGTTAGTCCCATAGTGACAATAGAAGTTCAGATATCAAGAGGATTGATGTCACATTATAGAGAGGATTTGGAGGAACCAGAGCAGATGAAAAATTGGACGAAATTGTCAGCGCAGATCTGTCGTATGGTCCTTCCCCCATTCGACAGCAATACTCTTATGACTATTAAGAGTATTCAACTGGCTTTTCATTGACAACCCTACTATGAAAAAAGCAACGATGATAAACTTCACTTAAGTGTTTATTGTCGAGACCGATCTTTATACATCAAAAAGTTTAATAAATGTTTATATAGAGAGAAAAAGCTTACCAATTGATCTCTTCTAACTTCAAAATTATATCGTATATGAACGTGAAAAGCAATGTTCTGTGTTTCTTTACCCGACAATTTAGCAACAGCAATGGCAGACATCGAAATTTATTGGAATGCTAATGCATCGATAACATAAATTTCTGTAAGCAAAATTATAAAAAACGTTTCGCAGGTATATACTTGTATTTCGGGCACACAACAGAATCCCTATTGTCTCCTACTTCCGCTGCCTTCTTCTTGAGGAGGTAGCTGTAATCGCCATCTTGATATACACTGCTTTCATAGGTTTTCATTGTTTTGTTCTGAAAATAAATATTAAATTTCATCAGAAAATTCACTTGAATGAAATCTGAAAATGTTCGGTACGTAGTAACATTAAGATGAGTTAGTTATCTGTAACAGTCGCCTCCTTTTATGCTAAGGATTATATGCAATGACTTAATTAAAAGTAATTCGGGTTTGGCTAAGTTTGATGAACAATTAAGAAAAAATTAACGTAACAATCGACCACATTTTACAGTGGTCGTACGTAAATACCTTGAGAAACTCAACTACGGTAGGAATATTTGTGTCCACTCTGTCCAGCATCAGTCGACACGTCCAGGTCAGTACAGCAAACGGCTATAAAGGGAATAAGCAGGAAAGGACCACAAAGTCCTCAGTAATAAGAAACGTTGTTAACGTGTTAAACCAAATTTTTTTGTTTGTTTTAATAAGTGAGATTCATGTCAATGGCATTATACTTTTGTAATTAAAATTTCTGAATTTTCTTTCTTATTTTTGAACTGGTATTACGTTTTAAGTAGCTTACAATACCTTTGGCTCGCTATGTTCGAATTTGAAAAGAAAGCGCTTTAAACTTGGGATTTGACTTGGATTAACATGGCGGTTGTCGTCGATCAAGCAGAAGACGCTTACCCTTCAGGTACACATGGTCTTATTCTCCTTGTACTCTGTTAAACTAGTTACTATTTCCGTTGTTCATAGTTTACTCTAGGTCTATTAGTTCTGAGTTCGAATTACGTTTTAACTCCTCAAAAAGAAGGGAGTGAAAATATAGGCCCTTGAACAGTAATTTAATTGTATCTTAACTTTGTATAACTATATAGCAAATCAATGTCACACCTGGCATTAACACGAAAGAATGTTAAGGTACACGTACCTACTTAAAAATGCATTAAAGTAGGGAGTGAGGATGTCACACTTTTGAAAGGAAGCAGATCATACCTACCATTTGTTAAGTGGTGTACGAAGCAGATCATACCTACCATTTGTTAAGTGGTGTCGGAAGCAGATCATACCTACCATTTGTTAAGTGGGGTAGGAAACAGAGCATACCTACCATTGTTAAGTGGTGTAGGAAGCAGATCATACCTACCATTTGTTAAGTAGTGTAGGAAGCAGATCATACCTACCATTGTTAAGTGGTGTAGGAAGCAGATCATACCTACCATTTATTTAGTGGTGTAGGAAGCAGATCATACCTACCATTTGTTAAGTGGTGTAGGAAACAGATCATACCTACCATTTGTTAAGTGGTGTAGGAAGCAGATCATACCTTCCATTTGTTAAGTGGGGTAGGAAGCAGAGCATACCTACCATTTGTTAAGTGGTGTAGGAAGCAGATCATACCTACCATTTGTTAAGTGAGGATGTGACACTTTTAAAAGGAAGCAGATCATACCTACCATTGTTAAGTGGTGTAGGAAGCAGATCATACCTACCATTTGTTAAGTGGTGTCGGAAGCAGATCATAGCTACCATTTGTTAAGTGGGGTAGGAAGCAGAGCATACCTACCATTGTTAAGTGGTGTAGGAAGCAGATCATACCTACCATTTGTTAAGTGGGGGAGGAAGCAGAGCATACCTACCATTTGTTAACTGGTGTAGGAAGCAGAGCATGCCTACCATTTGTTAAGTGGCGTCGGAAGCAGATCATAGCTACCATTTGTTAAGTGGGGGAGGAAGCAGAGCATACCTACCATTTGTTAAGTGGGGGAGGAAGCAGAGCATACCTACCAGTTGTTAAGTGGTGTAGGAAGCAGGTCATACCTACCATTTGTTAAGTGATGTAGGAAGCAGAGCATACCTACCATTTGTTAAGTGGTGTAGGAAGCAGATCATAACTACCATTTGTTAAGTTGTGTAGGAAGCAGATCATAACTACCATTTGTTTAGTTGTATAGGAAGCAGATCATAACTTCCATTTGTTAAGTTGTATAGGAAGCAGATCATACCTACCATTGTTAAGTGGTGTAGGAAGCAGATCATACCTACCATTTGTTAAGTGGTGTAGGAAGCAGATCTTAACTACCATTTGTTAAGTGGTGTAGGAAGCAGATCATAACTACCATTTGTTAAGTGGTGTAGGAAGTAGATCATACCTACCATTGTTAAGTGGTGTAGGAAGCAGATCATACCTACCATTTGTTAAGTGGTGTGGAAAGCAGATCATACCTACCATTTGTTAAGTGGTGTAGGAAGAAGATCATACCTACCATTGTTAAGTGGTGTAGGAAGCAGATCATACCTTCCATTTGTTAAGTGGTGTAGGAAGTAGATCATACCTCCCATTGTTAAGTGGTGTAGGAAGCAGATCATAGCTACCATTTGTTAAGTGGCTTAGGAAGTAGATCATACCTACCATTTGTTAAGTGGTGTAGGAAGAAGGTCATACCTACCATTGTTAAGTGGTGTAGGAAGAAGATCATACCTACCATCGTTAAGTGGTGTAGGAAGCAGATCATACCTAGCATTTGTTAAGTGGTGTGGAAAGCAGATCATACCTACCATTTGTTAAGTGGTGTAGGACGAAGATTATACCAACCATTTGTTAAGCTGCGTAGGAAGCAGATCATTCCTACCATTTGTTAAGTGGTGTAGGAAGCAGATAATACCTACCATTTGTTAAGTGGTGTGGAAAGCAGATCATACCTACCATTTGTTAAGTGGCGTAGGAAGTAGATCATACCTACCATTTGTTAAGTGGTGTAGGAAGAAGATTATACCAACCATTTGTTAAGCTGCGTAGGAAGCAGATCATACCTACCATTTGTTAAGTGGTGTAGGAAGCAGATCATACCTACCATTGTTAAGAGGTGTAGGAAGCAGATCATAGCTACCATTTGTTAAGTGGCGTAGGAAGTAGATCATATCTACCATTTGTTAAGTGGTGTAGGAAGTAGATCATACCTACCATTTGTTAAGTGGTGTAGGAAGAGACATTGTTCAGACAATAACTAAATCTATTGACATACGTCGACATAATCTGAAAATATTCCGACATAATTGATAAAATATTAAATATAGGCCAACTAACTTCCCAGGCTCTATTTTACATTAATAAGGGGCATGTCGTTGTAACATTCGACCATTAACACGATAGAAAACTGAACTGTATCGGAAATTGCGGCATCATTTATAAATTACAAATATTTTCAAATTGTATTGATATCAGAATTATGGTCCCGTATAAAGCATACCTACCAATTCTTGAGTGAGGTTGTACGGAGTTATGATATGACGTCGTAGGCAGGTTGTAGCTAAAGTCTTGAAGACCTTAAGTTGATCAATGTTTGCGCATGGGTGGTATAGGAATACGGCTGCCCCATGCTATAACATAGACACCAATTAGTTTTATGAACATTCCGTAATAACATAATATAATAGGATAGTGACAATACAGCACTAAACTGAACTGAGATGAAAACAATATAAGGCCTCATTTGATCCCTTGTTGTAACTTATGTTTTCTAGCGTGGCGATATTGAACTCTTCACTTATGATATTTTTCTTAACTGCATTTTTTTTTTGAAGTTTGGGAATCTAACACAAACTATATAGCATATTGTAAGGCTAAATTTGAACCAAAAATATAATACATTTATTAAAAAAGACGGGAACTTCTGTAGATGTTTGACGTGTTTTGTCCCGGCGATTTTGATTCGATATACTGGTAATAATCGGATACATTGATAAGTAACTGTGTGATGGCTTTCCTTGATAGTGATGCTGACTGATAAACTCACCTCTAGTGAGTGTAACCACCTCTGAGGGGGCGCGTAGGAATATTCACCGTATACAGGCCAAATAGGACGGTGAGCACCACTGAAAATTAACAGTTTAAGTACTATGACAAACTAATGTCCGCTGTTTAAGCTCTATACTCAGCAAAAAAGGAGAACACGCCTTCCCTTACGAACTTCCTCTGTGTCGGTAAAAAATGATATAATATAAGTATTATTCAGCAGTTGAACGTGTTTTTTATCATCATCATCTCCTAATCAATTTTCTGTAGTAATGTTTAACGATATTTAGGAATTGAAATATCAGGTTGCTCTCTATAAGACACAAAAGATTTAATGATATGCATAAAAATGTTCTAAAACAGAGGATAGGTGCTATATTGGCAATTTGGATTCGGATTCTGGGCTTAAAATCGGTAAACTGAAACATGTTTAAACGCTATAAAACTCCATTTTGTTTCCAATTGGAGAATCGAAGCATGGTACATATGAACTATCTGTCCCTTCAAAATGTGGCCCTATAAGTTAAAAGAAGGAGAAATGCACAGCCTGACTAGGATTCGGACCCAGGATCATCACATAGCGTTGTTAGACGCAAGTGAGGATAGGTTTCATAAGTAAGTTTGGTTAAAATAGGTTTATGAAAGTTAATAAAATGTCCAAAATGTCGGAGCCAATCAAATGTCATAGTGAACATGCTGCCGATTGGATCGTTGGTAGGGGCCACGAGAGGATACCATTTCTTCTGACCCATAGTGAGGTCCATACATCTTATCTCTGATCTTATCTCTGATCTTATCTCTGATTTTAATCATGGTGTACGCAAATTGCATCACACCAGCTTCCGTTACATAACAAAAAGAATCACGTTAAATAAAATTGGTTCTGTCCCTTCTTTTTTAACTAACCAATCCGAATTCTAACGTCCATGTTTGATATAGAATAGATCGTATAAACACCTAGCCAGTGACAGGGGATATTTACACAAAGGTTATAATCGCCTTTCTCGAATTTGCGAACAATATCTATTAATTGGTCAAATGTTACCAAACAAACTTCAACATTTCAAAATGGTGTTGCGACCTTTACTTAGAAATTGCAACCAATCCTCAATTAGTATATGCATTTTAAAATGTATTGAAATCAAATATTTTTGTGAAGTTATTTTTTATCTTTCCAAAAAGAGAACTATCAGTATTTGCCCTTAAATGATGGTTAACAATTGGCACCCCCTTTGGTATGACTTATCAGTGTGGATGAGGTACAATTAACATTTTTTGAGTATCGGTTATCATATATATTTTTAAATCTTTCAAATTAGAAATTAAGGCCACATCGAATTTCAGATTGGACAAAAAATACCTGTGACTTCAGTCCATTTTCTGTAAAAAAAGTCAATAGACTCTCAGATAACATGTAGGAACCGCGTCTGAACAAAGATTTGAGAAAGATCAAAACTAATTTTTAGAAAAACATAGGTCTTTAATATTTTTAAATACAATTTGTAAATGCCCTATTTAATTGAATGGTCATTAAGAAGATATTGATATGAAATACATGTATGGAAAGGCGGGAGAATTGGGTATATGGGCATGAAAGACATTAAAATCAGGAAAATGCAGAAAATATAATTGCAAACATCAAAAGTATCGAAATAAGAACACTAGATCAGTTTCGGTTTCTACAATATCCTTCAACGAAGAAAAACTCAAGTTCTTGAAAACCCTGACTAAAGTCGCTTCATATAAACATTAATAGAAGAAAACAGACCTACACCGTTCTCGGAACCTACAGAAGATTCGAGATATTCAGGACATTTTTTCTCTAAGAAAATAAATGCCTTAAGCACAGCTAAGTGATGACCTACCTGGTTGGGATCGCGTCATCATAAACAATGGCTTTATCCATACATTCGTGTATCGGCTACAATGAAGAACATTTATGTTTCTAGTAGTGTATCAAAAATAAGTAAGACAACTTATTGGTAAATTTTATTGTAGGCCGGCAAAGCTTTCTGTATTATTTTATTTATCTATTCATTTTAACATTGTTTAATTTATATTTATTATAATGTAGTAATCAATTTCCGGCGTGTAGTGTATATTTGCAATATACAGTTGGAATGGAAAGCTTGGATGGTTGTATGGCTGCCAGTTTTAAATGAAAAGGCGGACGAGGAAATTATCGTGCACAATAACTACATCATAAAACAAGTAAAGTATTGTGGATGCGTAAACCTTTCCGTAAATAGGTCTATGTAGCTAATTAGCCATGTATATACATACACTTTCCGCTTTCTTGGAACAGATCAGCTCCGGGGCCTTTGCATAGAAAGGAAATTAAATAATGATATCAGCAATACAGTGTTCATTGCAAACTAACGAGAAATCGTCCAATGAGAAAATAACAAATATAATTGTAAAAAGACAAACATACAAATGAAAACTCAAAAATAGAAATATAATATGACGAATAAGTACATAATGGTACTTTGTAGTCTACCACTTTGTATCAAATGTACTGTTAATTAACTAATTAAATTAAAATGTGTCTACAATATATATTACTTGTTTAAAGTGGTGTACAATTGACGGACTTGAGGACAGAATGAGCTTGATCAATACAAATAAGAATCCATTAGGGTTGTAATAGTTTAGTTAAATACAATTATTCGTCAACCTACGAGCCATATATATTCAGATATACTATGCCCAAGTATGCTAATGTTTTGACAGGTACGAATAATTGAAAAACATCGCATTTATACTGTATACCGGGAAATTTTCGCCGTAATTTATTTTCAGCTTTTTTGTCCACCTTATGCAAAGAAAGATAAAGAGGGGTATTAACACGGATTTTAGCAGAGTATGGCGAACATTGGACTGCGCTAAAGATTCCTGGTATACAGTATAGGAAACAGAGAAGTTATACATATAGAATATAATTATAGATAAGTTGGCAATATTAAACACACACAAGTCTGCATTACATTACATCATAATCATATTTACTTAATAATACCTTATGTATTACAATTTTGATGAAGGTGGTTTTTATTTACTTTCGGGTATGTGAACCTAATAAATGCTAGATGATTAGACTGGTAGATTAGTTTAAACACTTTAATATATATATATATAAAACAATAGATGACATAATTCCGTATAAACGCCTCACCTTACAGGAGGAGTGTGTCGCCGGGGAGTGTGCACGTTTCCCATGTCCCTTTTAAGTCAAAATAAACAAAAGAATTAACGCATGTAATATATTATCATCAAATACGTTAAATACGTTAAAGACGGACTAAATAAAATAAAAATATCAATTTGCATGTTCATTTAGTGTTTAGCTGGTTAAGAAAAATGCATCTATGTCATTTTCAAACGACTTGATGTGGAAAATAAAGGATTGGTGCAAATTTGATAAGTTTTATGTTTTTATATACATACCTTGGCGTTATGACGTCATGATATGACATAAAATTAAGGTTAGCTTAAGGTTAGCTTTAACAAAATATTTGTAGCTGCAAATAATAAAAATGACCCCAAATTTAACACATATTAGTTGATAAGTAGGTCACTGTTACCTTGTTATATATCTGCTTGTTTATGTCTACGATTCTCTCTATTTTGTGCCTAAATACACATTAGAACTATACAATAAAGTAACTAAACTGAACTTAAAAGTATCTTAATTAGATCTTGAGTGATTTTAACGGCCTCCCTTATTTGTCTTAGCTTAAACCAACACCGACCATGGATTTTGACTATCACTCATAACAGGGCAGTACGATAAGCATACCGGGAGCGTTCTTTGGCTTCTGCCTATCTCGGTCGCTCCAGTGGGGTCTTTTTTCTTAAAAGAATTTATTGGGACAGGTCACACAGGCGAAGACAAGTTCCCAAACTCTTTCTCATATGTATCGATGATGTGTTGTCTTTAAATAACAAGAAATTTAGTGGCCACAACGATCGAATATACACTCCTGAATATGGAACCAATGACTCTTCTGCAACAGCTGCCTATGTCAGTCTTTGCTTATAACATTACCAACTGGGATGGCTCGGGATTCACCAGTATGACAGGCAGGACACATTTTTTTTCTATATTTACGGGTTTGCTGCAAATATTATGAGTTCCGTGATCGATGTCAAATGCTGAGTTTCGTGAGATTTATGAAGACATTTAGAAGATGTTATGTTTTACATAATAGACAATATATTTATATATCATCTTTAAATATCGAAGGTTTTGGTTATGGCCATGAATGTTCTCGCATAATTCTTGTCATTTCCTCAGTTCTCCCTTTTGTAAACGTAATATTACTTGGATTTGACCTATAAATACACGGCGGGTATCGTTAATGAAGCAGGGTTATAATTCTTTTATTTTCCTCCATTTAAATGGAGACCTTCAGTACATGTTTGAAACGTGCCATTCCTTTGTGATGAAACAGGAAGTTAGGCCCTGATAATATGAGAGGCATCAGATAAGATGTAACGACATGTGGGCATCCGACCTGCACCATCAAGAAGAATAAGGGGCCGAAACGACGACCACGAGGGAAAATGGCCAATAGAGTGGAGATAGTTCCACTGACAAAATAAAAATAATCACAAAAAACCCTTTGCTGACAGTGACATTTAAGTCATGTTACATCGGTGACAAAAGTAAGTAAATAAGGGACTAGGTTAGAGGAATACATGAAAGACCTTATCAAGTTTTCACGGAAAAACTAAAAAGGAATATCATGTAACTGACTGGAAAGGTGCTAGACTCATTGCGAAGCAATACAATCAAAGACTGAGACTGATAAAGGATGCGTGGAGATGATGTTGACCAGAGGAGGATAGATTTCCCAAGACATGTTGGGTAACATTTACCAGCATAATAATCTGTTTAAAACACGTGTAGAACTCCCCCCCTCCTACCCTACCCCCCCCCCCCCCCCCCCCCTCTCTCTCTCATGCAAAAAAAAAATATGTACAGTTGACATACACGCGATATCTAGCTCACAGTTAGATGTTTATACTAACTGAATACTTACGCACGTTGGTACTGGTATTCTTTCACGCAGCGGGCATATTCGTACCATCTGCCTCATCTGAGCTAGGTCAATGGCTAAACGGTCCTTCAACAAATTATTAATGGCGTGATTTCTTTGTAAAGGAAAACATTGTTTTACTTAATAACCCTGTTTACAATACATATTTCCTATTTCTATTTGTGTCTGGTATTGTATAACATAGAATGATCGATGACGATGAACCGGGACATAAACCGGGCTTTTCTCAAGGTACTCCGCTTTCCTCCCTCACTAAGACCCTCACGCGTGAATATCCAGGCCAACAAGAGTTGATATAACTTGTTTCATAATGGTTGTAAAATAAATAAAGATAATGACATATCTCTATTTATCAATGTGCACTTAGAATGAGCAGTAATGATATTTTGTTATTTGCAATAATATTCACATCATCATAATCGTCATTATCATCATCATCATCATCATCATCATCATCATCATCATCATCATCCCAATTTGCTGTTTGTGATAATGTGTACTTAGATTTACTAATAAAAGTACATCTCGATTTTTACAATAATGAGCACTAAAAATTATCAATAGAAATATATTTCCGTTTTCGTAGTTAGAAATGGAATGATATAAAGCAACGTTATCGTAACGAAGCAATTCAAATGTTCGCCTTTTTTCTATATATAGATTGTACACTTTATATGTGAACAAGCTGATAAAAATATTACATTTAAACGGTGAGATATATAGCATCATTAACTTTATATGTCAACAAGCTGATATAACTTATTATATTTAAACGGTGAGATATATAGCATCATTAATTTTATATGTTAACAAGCTGATATAACTTATTAATTTTAAACGGTGAGATATATAGCATCATTAACTTTATATGTCAACAAGCTGATAAAAATATTACATTTAAACGATGAGATATATAGCATCATTAACTTTATATGGCAACAAGTTTATGTAACCTATTATATTTAAGCGGTGAGATGTATAGCATCATTAACTTTATATGTCAACAAGCTGATAAAATTATTACATTTTAGCGGTGAGATATATAGCATCATACAAGCTGACATAATATATAATATGTTAGCAGGGATAAACACAGCATTATTTGAACCCGATTGAGGTGATATTATCCGTCAAGTACATTATATCACCCTGGTATCATTGCCTTATATCAATCTCAAATCTCATTACTGGAAATTCAGATCGGTCATTATTTTGTCTGTTAAATGGAAACTGCCAATGACCGGAATGAGTTAAAGCGTAATTAATGTATCACTTGTTGCCCTACACTGCATTTACGTAATCCAAATTAACTCTGTGCTATTAAAAAACACCAAAAAAGCATCTGCATCTGCGATGTTTCATATTCATACGAACCGAAGTGTGAAAGAACTGGGTGAAAAAAACTGTGATGTTTCGGCACGGCAGGTAGAGGAAGTACATGACAGGTAAAGGAAGGACACGACAGGTAGAAGAAGGACACGACAGGTAAAGGAAGGACACGACAGGTAGAGGAAGGACACGACAGGTAGAAGAAGGGCACGCCAGGTACAAGAATGACACGACAGGAAGAGGAAGGGCACGACAGGTACAAGAAGGACACGACAGGGAGAGGAAGGACACGACAGGTAGAGGAAGGACACGACAGGTAGAAGAAGGGCACGACAGGTAGAAGAAGGGCACGACAGGTACAAGAATGACACGACAGGTAGAGGAAGGACACGACAGGTACAGGAAGGACACGACAGGTAGAAGAAGGACACGACAGGTAAAGGAAGGACACGACAGGTAGAGGAGGGGCACGACAGGTAGAGGAAGGGCACGACAGGTAGAGGAAGGGCACGGCAGGTAGAGGAAGGGCACAACAGGTAGAGGAAGGGCACGACAGGTAAAGGAAGGACACGACAGGTAGAGAAGGTACATGACATAAAGAGAATGGGCACGACAGGTAGAGGAAGGGCACGACAGGTAGAGGAAGGACACGACAGGTAGAGGAAGGACACGAGAGGGAAAGAAAGGACACGACAGGTAAAGGAAGGACACGACAAGTAAAGGAAGGACACGACAGGTAGAAGAAGTACACGACAGGTAAAGGAAGGACACGACAGGTAGAGAAAGGGCACGACAGGTAGAGGAAGTACACGACAGGCAGAGGAAGGGCACGACAGGTAAGGAAAGGACACGACAGGTAGAGGAAGGGCACGACAGGTAGAGGAAGGACACGACAGGTAAAGGAAGGACACGACAATTAGAGGAGGTACATGAGAGGTAGAGGAAGGGCACGACATGGAGAGGAAGTACACGACAGGTACAGGAAGGGAGTGACAGGTAGCGGAAGGACACGACAGGTAGAGGAAGTACATGACAGGTAGAGGAAGGGCACGACAGGTACAGGAAGGACACGACTGGTAGAGGAAGGACACGACAGGTACAGGAAGTAAATGACAAGTGAAGGAAGGACACGACAGGTAAAGGAAGGACACGACAGGTAAAGGAAGGACACGACAGGTAGAGGAAGTACACGACAGGTACAGGAAGGGAGCGGCAGGTAGAGGAAGGACACGACAGGTAGAGGAAGTACACGACAGGTACAGGAAGGGAGCGACAGGTAGCAGAAGGACACGACAGGTAGAGGAAGGCCACGACAGGTAAAGGAAGGACACAACAGGAAGAGGAAGGGCACGACAGGTAGAGAAAGGGCACGACAGGTAGAGGAAGAGGACGACATGTAGAGGAATTACACGACAGGTAGAGGAAGGGAACGACAGGTACAGGAAGGACACGACGGGTAGAGGAATGGTACGACAGGTAGAGAAAGGGCACGACAGGTAGAGGAAGAGGACGACATGTAGAGGAATTACACGACAGGTACAGGAAGGGAGCGGCAGGTAGCGGAAGGACACGACAGGTAGAGGAATGGTACGACAGGTAGAGAAAGGGCACGACAGGTAGAAGAAGAGGACGACATGTAGAGGAATTACACGACAGGTAGAGGAAGGGCACGACAGGTACAGGAAGGGAGCGGCAGGTAGCGGAAGGACAAGACAGGTAGAGGAAGGGAGCGACAGGTTGCGCAAGGACACGACAGGTAAAGTAAGGACACGACCGGTGGAGGAAGGACACGACATGTAGAGACAGGTAGAGGAAGAAAACGACAGGTAGAGATAGAGGAAGGACACGACGAGTAGAGGAAGGGCACGACGGGACAAGAATGACACGACAGGAAAAGGAAGGGCACGACAGGCAGAAGAAGGGAAAGACAGGTAGAGGAAGAGAACGACAGTTAGAGGAAGGGCACGGCAGGTAGGGGAAGGGGACGACAGGAAGAGAAAGGGCACGACAGGAAAAGGAGAGGAAGGGCACGACGGGTAGAGGAAGGGCACACCAGGTATAGGAAGGGCACGACAGGAAAAGGAGAGGAAGGGCACGACCGGGAGAGGAAGTACAAGAGAAAGGGCACGACAGCTAGAAGAAGAGGACGACAAGTAGAGGAATTACACTACAGGAAGAGGAAGGGCACGACGGGACAAGAATGACACGACAGGTAGATGAAGGGCACGACAGGCAAAGGAAGGACACGAAAGGTAAAGGAAAGGAAGCTACAGGTAAAGGAAGGGCACTACAGGTAGAGGAAGGACACCACAGGTAGAGGAAGGTCACGACAGGTAGAGGGAATTAAACGACAGGGACAGGAAGCAAATGACAAGTGAAGGAAGGACACGACCGGGAGAGGAAGTACATGACAGGCAGAAGAAGGGAAAGACAGGTAGAGGAAGAGCACAACAGGTATAGGAAGGACACGACAGATAGAGGAAGTGAACGCCAGGTAGAGGAAGAGTACACGACAGGTACAGGAAGGGCACGACAAGTTAAGGAAGGACAAGACAGGTACAGGAAGGGAGCGGCAGGGAGCGGAAGGAAAAGACAGGGAGAGGGAGGGCATGGCAGGGAGAGGAAGGGCCCGACAGGAAGAGGAAGGGCAAGACATGTAGAGGAAGGACACCACATGTAGAGGAAGGACACGAAAGGTAAAGGAAGGACAAGACAGGTAGCGGAAGGACAAGACAGGTACAGGAAGGGAGCGGCAGGTAGCAGAAGGACCCGACAGGTAGAGGAATTACACGACAGGGACAGGAAGGGAGCGGCAGGTAGCGGAAGGACAAGACAGGTACAGGAAGGACACCACAGGCAGAGGAAGGGCACGATAGGTAGAGGAAGGACCCGACTGGTAGAGGAAGGACATGACAGGAAGAGGAAGGGCACGAAAGGTAAAGGAAGGACACGTCAGGTAGACGAAGGGCTCGACATGTAGAGGAATGGCACGACAGGTAAATGAAGGACACGACAGGTAAAAGAAGGACACGACAGGCAGAGGAAGTACATGACAGGCAGAAGAAGTAAATTACAGGAAGACGAATGGTACGACAGGTAGAGGGAATTAAACGACAGGGACAGGAAGGGAGCGGCAGGGAGCGTGAGGACAAGACAGGGAGAGGAAGAGGACGACATGTAAAGGAAGGACACTACACAGGTAGAGGAAGTGCACGACAGGTACAGGAAGGGCGCGACAGGTAGAGGAATGCCACGACAGGTACAGGAATGTCACGACAGGTACAGGAAGGGCGCGACAGGTAGAGGAAAAACGAAAGGAAGCGACAGGTTGAGGAAGGACACGACCGGAAGAGGCATGGTACGACAGGTAGAGGGAGGACACGACCGGTAGAGGGAGGACACGACCGGTAGAGGAAGGGCACACCAGGTATAGGAAGGACACGACAGATAGAGGAAGGAAACGACAGGGAGAGGACGGACACGACAGGGACAGGAAGCAAATGACAAGTGAAGGAAGGACACGACAATTAGAGGAGGTACATGACAGGAAGAAGAAGAGGACGACATGGAGAGGAATTACACGACAGGGACAGGAAGGGAGCGGCAGGGAGCGGAAGGACACGACCGGTGGAGGAAGGACACGACGGGTAGAGGAAGGGGACGACAGGTAGAGGAGGGGCATGACATGTAGAGGAAGAGAACGACTGGAAGAGGAAGGGCTATACAGGTAGAGGAATTACACAACAGGTAGAGGAAGGACATGGCAGGGAGGGGGAGGGAGCGACAGGGTGCGGGAGGGCACGACAGGGACAGGAAGGGAGCGGCAGGGAGCGGGAGGACACGACAGGGACAGGAAGGGAGCGGCAGGTTGCGGGAGGGCACGACAGGGACAGGAAGGGAGCGGCAGGTAGCGGAAGGACAAGACAGGTAGAGGAAGTACATGGCAGGTAGAGGAAGTAGACGACAGGTAGAGGAATGCCACGACAGGTACAGGAGGGACACGACAGGTAGATGAAGGGCACGACAAGAAGAGGAAGGACAAGACAGGTACAGGAAGGGAGCGGCAGGTAACGGAAGGACACGACAGATAGAGGAAGTGAACGCCAGGTAGAGGAAGAGAACGACAGTTAGAGGAAGGGCACGGGAGGGAGAGGAAGGACAGGACAGGTAGAGGAAGAACACGACAGGTACAGGAATGTCACGACAGGTACAGGGAGGGAGCGGCAGGTAACGGAAGGACACGACCGGTTGAGGAAGGACACGACGGGTAGAGGAATGGTACGACAGGGAGAGGAAGTACATGAGAGGAAGAAGGGCACGGCAGGAAGAGGAAGGACACGAAAGGTAACGGAAGGACACGACAGATAGAGGAAGTAAACGGCAGGTAGAAGAAGGATACGACAGGTAGAGGGAATTAAACGACAGGTAGAGATAGAGGAAGGACACGCCTGGTAGAGGAAGGACAGGACAGGTAGAGGAAGAGTACGACAGGTAGAGGAGGGGCACGAAGGGAAAAGGAAAGGAAGCGACAGGTTGAGGAAGGACACGACGGGGAGAGGAATTAAACGACAGGGACAGGAAGGGAGCGGCAGGTAGCAGGTAGAGGAGGTAGGGGAAGGACACGACAGATAGAGGAAGTGAACGCCAGGTAGAGGAAGTACATGGCAGGTAGAGGAAGGGCTCGACAAGTAGAGGAATTACACTACAGGAAGAGGAAGGGCACGATAGGTAGAGGAAGGGCAAAACAGGTATAGGAAGGGCCCGACATGTAGAGGAATTCCACGACAGGTAGAGGAGGGGCACGACAGGGAGAGGGAGGGCATGGCAGGGAGAGGAAGGACAAGACAGGTACAGGAAGGGAGCGGCAGGGAGCGGAAGGACACGACAGGCAGAGGAAGTACATGACAGGCAGAGGAAGTACATGACAGGCAGAGGAAGTACATGAGAGGAAGAAGGGCACGGCAGGTAGAGGAAGGACATGGCAGGTAGAGGAAGGGAGCGACAGGTTGCGGAAGGACACGACAGGTAGAGGAAGTACGTGACAGGAAGAAGAAGGGCACGACAGGTACAAGAAGGACACGACAGGTAGAGGAAGGACACGACAGGTACAGGAATGACACGACAGGTACAGGAAGGACACGACAGGTAGAGGAAGGGCACGACAGGTAGAGGAAGGACACGACAGGTAGAGGAAGTACACGACAGGTAGAGGAAGGACAGGACAGGTAGAGGAAGGGCACGACAGGTCGAGGAAGGACACGACAGGTAGAGGAAGTACATGACAGGAAGAGGATTAGCACGACAAGTAAAGTAACGGCACAACAGGTAAAGGAAGGGCACGATAGGGAAAGGAAGGACACGACAGGCAAAGGAAGGACACGACAATTAGAGGAGGAACATGAGAGGTAGAGGAAGGGCACGACATGCAGAGGAAGGGAACGAAAGGGAGCGGAAGGGCACGACAGGTAGAGGAAGGAAGGGCACGGCAAATAGAGGAACGGCGACAGGTAGCGGAAGAACACGACAGGTAGAGGAAGTACATGACAGGAAGAGGATGAGCACGACAAGTAAAGTAACGGCACAACAGGTAAAGGAAGGGCACGATAGGGAAAGGAAGGACACGACAGGCAAAGGAAGGACACGACAATTAGAGGAGGAACATGAGAGGTAGAGGAAGGGCACGACATGCAGAGGAAGGGAACGAAAGGTAGCGGAAGGGCACGACAGGTAGAGGAAGGAAGGGCACGGCAAATAGAGGAACGGCGACAGGTAGCGGAAGAACACGACAGGTAGAGGAAGTACATGACAGGGAGAGGAAGTACACTACAGGTAGAGGAAGTACATGACAGGAAGAGGATGAGCACGACAAGTAAAGTAACGGCACAACAGGTAAAGGAAGGGCACGATAGGGAAAGGAAGGACACGACAGGCAAAGGAAGGACACGACAATTAGAGGAGGTACATGAGAGGTAGAGGAAGGGCACGACATGCAGAGGAAGGGAACGAAAGGTAGCGGAAGGGCCCGACAGGTAGAGGAAGGACATGACAGGTCGAGGAAGGGCACGGCAAATAGAGGAACGGCGACAGGTAGCGGAAGAACACGACAGGTAGAGGAAGTACATGACAGGTAGAGGAAGTAAGCGACAGGTAGAGGAAGGACACGACAGGTACAGGAAGGACATGACAGGTAGAGGAAGGGCACGACAGGTCGAGGAAGGACACGACAGGTAGAGGAAGAGAACGACAGGTAGAGGAAGGACAGAACAGGTAGAGGAAGGGCACGACAGGTAGAGGAAGGACATGACAGGTAGAGGAAGGGCACGGCAAATAGAGGAACGGCACAACAGGTAGAGGAAGGGCACGACAAGTAAAGGAAGGACAAGACATGTAAAGGAAGGACACGAGAGGTAGAGGAAGAGAACGACAGGTAGAGGAAGGACACAACAGGTAGAGGAAGGGCACGACAGGTATAGGAAGGACACGACAGGTAGAGGAAGAGAACGACAGGTAGAGGAAGGGCACGACAGGTAGAGGAAGGGCACAACAGGTATAGGAAGGGCACGACAGGTAAAGGAAGGACACGACATGTAGAGGAGGTACATGACAGAAAGAGGATGGGCACGACAGGTAGAGGAATGGCACGACAGGTAAAGGAAGGACACGACAGGGAAAGGAAGGACACTACAGGTAAAGGAAGGACACGACAGGTAGAGGAAGGACACGACCGGTTGAGGAAAGACACAATAGGTAGAGGAAAGGTACGACATGTAGAGAAAGGGCACGACAGGTAGAGGAAGGGCACGACAGGTAGAGGAAGGACACGACATGTAGAGGAAGTACACGACAGGTACAGGAAGGGAGCGACAGGTAGCAGAAGGACACGACAGGTAGAGGAAGTACATGACAGGAAGAAGAAGAGCACGACAGGTACAGGAAGGACACGACAGGTAGAGGAAGGACACGACAGGTAGAGGAAGGGCACGACAGGTAGAGGAAGGGCACGACAGGTAGAGGAAGGGCACGACAGGTAGAGGAAGGACACGACCGGTTGAGGAAGGACACAATAGGTAGAGGAAAGGTACGACATGTAGAGAAAGGGCACGACAGGTAGAGGAAGGACACGACATGTAGAGGAAGTACACGACAGGTACGGGAAGGGAGCGACAGGTAGCAGAAGGACACGACAGGTAGAGGAAGTACATGACAGGAAGAAGAAGGGCACGACAGGTACAGGAAGGACACGACAGGTAGAGGAAGGACACGACAGGTACAGGAAGGACATGACAGGTAGAGGAAGGACACGACAGGTAAAGGAAGGACACGACAGGTAGAGGAAGGGCACAATAGGTAGAGGAAGTAAACGACAGGGAGAGGAAGGACACGACAGGTAGAGGAAGAACACGACTGGTAGAGGAAGGACACGACAGGTAGAGGAATTAAACGATAGGTAGATGAAGTAGACGACAGGTAGAGGAAGGGCACGGCAGGTAGAGGAAGTACATGGCAGGTAGAGGAAGGACACGACAGGTAAAAGAAGGACACGACTGGTAGAAGAAGGACACGACAGGTAGAGGAATTAAACGACAGGTAGAGGAAGGACACGACTGGTGGAGGAACGACACGACAGGTAGAGGAAGGGCACGGCAGGTAGAGGAAGGACATGGCAGGTAGAGGAAGGACACGACAGGTAGAGGAAGTAAACGACATGTAGAGGAAGGGCACGACAGGTAGAGGAAGGGCACGACAGGTAGAGGAAGGACATGACTGGTAGAGGGAGGATACGACAGGTAGAGGAAGGACACGACAGGGAGAGGAAGGACACGACAGGTAGAGGAAGGACTCGACAGGTAGAGAAAGTAAACGACAGGTAGAGGAAGGACACGACAGGTAGAGGAGGTAAACGACGAGACGCCGAAACACATCGTACACACCCAGTACTTTAACACTTCGCTTCAATTGTAAATGAAAGAACTGTCTGGGAAGATCCATCTACATCTTGTTTTTCTTTAATTCACTTTGGTTCACAATATACACGGTAAAGATGCATTTTCAATTTGAATAGCCTTTCGCTCCCAGCCAACCGAAGGGATATGGCTTGATATCAGCATAAAAATTCAGTAAAATGTTCTTTCTTTGTTTGTATACGTGTTTAATGTGTATGTCTTGATATATGGGAGCGTTGCCTCGAACATTCGATAGATTTCTTTGTCTGCACTATCGCTATTACTAATATGTTTATATTCTGTATATGTACTTTAGTATATATATCGATTTCAGTAATACGCATCAAACGAACCTTTGTTATTTCGGATCCAGTGCTTGGATCATATATACTGTCGTTATTCTTTTGATACCTATATGTATATTTTGTTTGGCATATATGGAATTGTTAAGCTGAACTGGTAAAATATATTACGGCTATAAAAGAATGACCATTGGATACCCTCTATGTGTTAGCAATATACCATTTATTTCCATCCTGATAAACTATTGGCACACTAGTTACTCAGAAAATGTAGGACTCACTTTTCCATTATCACAGTTGTCATCAAGCACTCCCATTTTAACGCCTCCATGCATGGAGTCGCCATGTGATGTCACATCCGGTAAGGCAAAGTCTCCGAAATCTGGTTGGTGGACAAGATGAGCTAAGCTAATATGCGTCAGGAAAAGTAGCGTCCAAACTGTTGTACAAACACCGATAATCAAGGATGTCATCATTTGCGAAGTTTCTGAAAGTAGTAATACACAATTGTTCATATACAATCTTAGTGGAAATATTCTACTCATTGTCTCACCTTCAAATGAAATACAGTGCATTTATACACGACGAATTATACAAATAACAAGTTAACAGAAGTGTATAGCGGATATATGCTATTCCCGCTTTCTTCTTTGCCAGCTTGGATCAGATGTATAACGATGGTCTAACCTGTGTGTTATATCTCTGTATCATATGTTGACTGATAAATACTGATCATACTGCACAAAAAAACCCTAAGGAAGTCTAAGATACAAATGAACAAATTGAAACATGTAGTTAACTTGTGTGCTAATCAGTAATAGACACATCGCGATAGTTCTGAAACCAAAGTCTTTTCAAGAACAAAAGAACCGATGAAAATGTTACCTGTCACCGCTTGTGAAAAATGACCCGAATTACCTGGAAATTAATCAATCAGTCCGAGAATAAAATTAAAACCACCCAAACTGTTGTATGCTTCAGATAAACTCGTGTCCGGGTCGACAAACACCGTGATCAATATCATACCATATGCCTGCATCATTGTGTTTCACTTAGGTGACGCAGACTGATATTAAAACACCATAATGTTTTATATGCACGGTAGTTATAGGGCACATGCTATTTGTCGAACACATATATTTAACAGATGGCCACAATGGTTGCGGCTGTTAAGCAACCTTATGTAGATATGACTACAGATAATATAGCCTTACTTTATGTTATCAATTCCATTGAAAGATTTCTAACGAACATTAATATGCCACATACACTAGCAAAGTTTTGTTATGAAGCTCTGAAAATAAAACAATTTCAAATAATTAACAGTTGATAATAATAATGCGACTCATTTATTGTCAAGTTTGTTTAGTGATTATCATTTTTCAAATCACTTAGCATATATAAATTATTTAAGTTTCAATATTAAATAACAATGCAGTTATGAAAAACACAACTGTATAGTGAGTTTCCAAAATTTCAGATTTTTATTCAGATCCCTTCATATCTATTTCTTACCTCTTTTTGCGTTCCCGAGATAAAAAATAACAAGAGAAAACAAAAGAGTCAGCAGAACCATGATTCGAACTCTAAGCGATAAAACTGAGGCAAAATATGAACAAAGGAAAGATTCACGTGGAGACCCTTGAAAAAGTACAAATAGAATAAGACCACGTGTTCCGGAAGGTGAGCATTTTCACCTCATCAATGACACCTATAATGTAAATCAATTTATGTCAAGTCCTCATATAGAAAACACAGGCAGTGGCATCAAAACCGCAGGGCCGTCTAATGAGCATTATAGAATCATCGACCTTCATATTATGCAAAGACATAGCATATTTCCCATACTCTTCATAACCTGCATCTTTGAAAAATCTGTGTTGTAAGTTTGTCCGTCGGCAGTCGACATCTTTCACAGAAAGCATGATATTCGGAGCAATCTCTTGCTAAAAGATGAGTACCGAATCAACTGCTACATGTAAACACCAAAGGTAGGGGATGTAGGGGTGTTGCATTAAAGAAAGAGAAAGTTCACAATCGGACGGTCGAAATTCTCCCGCTAATCGTACAGCTTAGAAGTTACTAACGTTAAGAACGTTATTAATTCAATATGGGACGAGCTCAATATTGGAATGGCCCAATGTTTGGCTAGTTTGATATTCAATAACACAAATACAATTATACTCTTATGCCGTTTGACACTTAACACTTTTATTACAACAGATCACCGTCTAAGGTATACCACAGGCTAAAGATGCCCACAGGGCCGTTTTGAATATGAAACTAAAATCAGTACTTTTTTTCAACATGCTAGGAAATATTTATAGAAGTCTTGTGCCGCTTTCTAACACTTATACAAACAAATGTAATTCATTTTGTCTTCTGTCAGATAACAGGATTTACACAGTTTGTCACAAAGTAGGTCTCAAAATGTAATGGTCTGTCGTCCTCTGTGGCCACAGTGGCCAAGTGGTGAAGCCGTCTGACATTCTGCTACCACTAGCCGTCCACCGCTGGGTCGCGGGTTCCAGGCCTACGTGGCAGTCGCCAGGTACTGGCCGTAGGTCGGTGGGTTTCCCCCCCGAGAGCTCCTGCTATCCACCACCGAAACGTGACACGTCCTTAAATGACCATAGCTGTTAATAGGACGTACAACACAGACAAACCAAACCAAACCTCTGTGTTAAGGTCATACGATGATTAAACTTAAAAACATGTTTTGTAAACTTGATCAAAAGGCTAACATAAAGAATATCGAAACAAACATCCAAATAGATACTGGTATGAATCTCCACAAGATACCGACATTATTTATATGTTTTCTTCAATCGGATTTGACATTAATTATCCATTCGATTTGATTTTGTTTATGTTCTAAACAGGCTTTTAGGATATCATCATTTGTATCTTATAATTATACGAAGCCTTAAATACTTTACTTTTCTTCGACGACTTGCAATGCATTAAGAAAACCTTCGTAACTCTAGTTGCATACAAACATTCATTTTTATGAATTGTTCTACTGAAACTCTCCTTTTACAAAAGTTCGTGTAAAGCTTTCGTCTGGAGCTATGTGGACACATGTATCACTTGTATATTAAAATACACTTTTGATAACTTTGGGTGTATACGTCGCCCAGAAGAAAAGAAGTATGATGACAATGTGGATTGAAAAGCAGTGCATAAATCTACATAGCAATACTTCGATTTATGTTCAGTAATTAATGTAAAGTTTTATTTAATAAAAACCAATGCTGTTTTTTTGATAATCAAGGCAGAATAGTATATTTCACATAAAGAAGGAAATTTTGAAAGATACTGTGTTTAGTACTTAATAAATATATAATCACTTTACTTCATTTAATTTAAATTTTAATTAATGCTACTGTAATAGTTTCTGTTGGACACATTTAAAAGAAATAAACGCTTTGCTCTATGCTACCAGCTGTACAACCATCTAACGTGAATCTGGCCGCCGATAACGCCGCATTATTCTGACATGTACTTGTTTTGCAGCAACTTAACAGTACTTGATCTTCTTGTCTGGATTGACCAAGCTACGGAACCACAAACAAATCAAATTGCTATCCTGATCCATCCTGTTTGGGTAAATAGAACAGTACACAAGAAGAAATTTACATAAAGTTGAAAGTATCCTCGGAAACACTAGTGAAATAAGTATGTCGTTCTCCTCTCATTTTTTACTTTGTTGGGATTCTTGATAAAACTGAGTTACCCCACATATATATAGATAAACAATTCCCTCTATCAGGCTTTTACTGTCTATGTACTGCGAGACATAAGTTTAAGATTCAACTCCTACAGGACAGTGACTTTGTTATACCAAGCCAGATTTGATCAAAACTCGTAAAATAATTATCCATCTGGACCCAAGAACATTACTGAAGCTCTCTCGAACCAGAGATTTTTTTAACGAAAAGAAGAAAATACAGGTAGATTTTAAGTAAAAAAGTATTGAAACCCGTATTTGTGAAATCAACAACAGCTTAAAAGTATTGACACCTGTCAAACTATATCATTTTTTCCCATACGATTGAATTTCTATCTTCACATGGAGCCTACACAGGTATGATAACTGTCTCCATTAAACCATAGAGTCCAGTTGTATCGGAATATAAAACTTGTATATAGAAAACATTTCCATGTACCAATACTACCACGCTTGTCTTCAACGGCTCCAGTTCGTTGTACAAAGTATATCTAGGAAATACCCAATACTTTGTTTGTTTGTTTGTTTGTTTGATTTTGTTTAACGTCCTATTAACAGCTAAGGTCATTTAAGGACGGCCTCCCCTGTGTGCAAGATGCATGCGTGTAGTGTATGTGTGTGTATTTTGGGAGGCTGCGATATGTTCGTGTTTGTCTCCTTGTGATAGCGCGGAACTGATGCCGACTTTATAGTGCTACCTCACTGAAACATACTGCCGAAGACACCCAGCAGGACGCCCCACCCGGTCACATTATACTGACAACGGGCGAACCAGTCGTCCCACTCCTAATTTGCTGAGCGTTAAGCAGGAGTAGAAACTACCATTTTTAAAGACTTTGGTATGTCTCGGCCAGGGGACAGAACCCAAAGCCTTCCTCACAGGGGCGAACGCTCAACAAATGGCCAAAAGTGAGGCATTGTCAAGGGAGACATTAGGAAGAAGAAAGTTATTTAGAAAGGAGAGAAGAGATAAGGTCCCAAATTTAGTCGCCTCTTACGATCATACAATTGGGGGCAGCAGGTACAATTCTTACGCCCTACCTGCAGGGGATATATATACTGTCTGCTGCAGTGTGAAATAAGGGGACACAAGATCTATACGGAATACATTTAATACCTAGTCAAGAAAACGTAATACAAGCCATACATGGAGGGTTAAGATTTTGACATGTGACCATCGCGACTTGAGTGGGCAGAATGTGTAAGACAACAGCCAGCCTTACGGTTTGGGTGTGATCGACAACCGCCGACGTCTGTTTCATAGCTGACGTATTCATGCTATTGCATGATTGATTTTATGGACGAAATAGCTGTTCAGAGTAGTGTTATTTTTGGCATACTGTATTTAATACCTAATCGTCTAACGTTCATCTTTTAAAGGAAAACCAAAAGCATGGAAAAGACAAATTGATAAAAATAGCGATGGAAGACCTACCTTGTATCAAAAGAATTTCTGATTGATGCCATCAATAATCTATCCAGCTCATTATATTTCTCACGTGCACATATGTGCCGGCTGTAGTTAACTCATGACTGGTCCCCGTCACAAAGATATCTGGATAATTAAGATAAAACACTTCGATCACTATACCGTACGACACTTGTTAGAGGCAATGTTTACAGTCGGGCCGCTGTTTGACACTCACTCGCTTACATGTGCATGAACATGTTTGGCTTATTGATCGATTTGGTCCAGTCGAGATCCTACCATGCATCGCAAGCGTATTTAGGTGTAGTTGCTATTACACACACTGTATTTTACGGTTAATGATAAAGTGATGAAGAGACAAATGAATAGGACGCACCAAAAACTAACACATAGACTACATCCTTTGTAAACTTAGTTTAGTAGTATCACAAATGTGTACACATTTATTAATATTTAAAAATATCAAGGTTTATAAATTTATGCACGCATGCGGTGTGATAGTCATTAAGGCACAAAAAGGCCGTCAATAATGTAATATGTGCCATTATTTATCAACATTGTTGGCCCATTTTCGACAAGCTCGGAGAGAATTTCCCTATCCAGAAAAGCTACGAAATTATTTACTATTTTTTTCAAAATCTTGCCCGGAAATACGGTATAAATCGAAATGACATCCCGAACGCAACAATAAATTGGCGAAACTGACAATTTGATGACGTCACGTATGATACTGTATATACAGTCAATGACCTACAGTTTAATAAGTGAGTGCCGAAATAGTTCACGTAGACGTGCAACACCACGCTACACACTTGATATTTAAGCTGTGTTAAAAATAGTCCCTGATTTCTGTAGAAGTTAAATTGCCAAATTGACTGAGTTTGGCATGATGGTTTGATTTACTATGGCTTCAGTGATAATCTATTAAAATGGCGTTCTTCCTTTTAAATGACAGGAGACGGATGGCAGTCTTGGATGAATCTGAATGGAAAACCTTAAAAGCAGGGGTGCCACAAGGGTCAATGTAAGACCCATACTTATTTCTTTTGTATATCAAAGATACTGAAGAAAAATTTGATTTCTGATGTCAAGCTATTTCTGACGATTCGCCTTTCTTTGCTTTCGATTGAGGGAAACAGACAGGAAGCTGCTGATATATAACATGACGATTTAAGGAAAATATTTTTCCCATTATATACACATCGATTTGATGTTCACTAGCAATGCCATTGGTCTACTCATATAAATCATATTTAAAAAAAAAACCACGTGAAAGACGCAATATAGCCATGATGTTAAACTTTAAAATTTACAGGAAATCTCTTGATATTATAGATATATTACATTTGTGAGTATAATTTTCGAATACGCAAGTATTGTATGGGCAAACTGTACCGAAAGAGAATGCGACGCTTTGGAGTCAATCCAACCTGAAGTAGCACGTATTAGTACAGGTTTAAGACGGAGAACTAACAATAATAGTTAATACAGAATAACTGGCCTTGTTGCACTTCATAAAAGACATTTGTATCAAAATATTAAGTGTTTTTTATTATTAACTTATGTCCATCTCATATCTTTGATTTAACTCAATCCTAAATCAAAATACTGATATTTACAGTTTTCGACTTAATAGACTATTTGATGTTCCAATTCAGAGAATGCATCTATACAACACAACTTTCCCCGACACTTATATCAGTATGGAACGATCCTACCTGTCTGTAACAACATATCTTGGAACTCTCAAAAAGGAATGTTTACGTTAACCTTATATCAATGCCCAAATCCTATACATTATTTATATCAAATATCATGGTCATGGACAACTTACAATAGCATTATGCAAATTAAGGAATTCAGCTAGTAATTTGAATTCAGATTTATTTCTTTGCCATCTAATAAATAGCCCTGCCTGTACATGTGGTTCCCGTGTTGAAGACTGTAATCACCATTTCCCCCCACTGTCCTCTTTATACTAACCAAAGACAACTCTTCCTTAACTCCGTCTCTGCATTTAGTGACACTCCTCCGCTTAATACTCTTTTTTTCTTAATAGTTTTCAAACACGAGACAATAATATAAATATTGTGGAGTTGGTTCTGAGTCACTTTACATACACCAGAAGTTTATATTAGATTATGTTTTTTTTAATTCTCAACTAGATGTAAAACATGCTGCATGTTGGTCTGTTGGTTAAGGGGTCGAGGTGGCCAAGTGGTTAAGGCGTCTGACATTCTGCTACCACTAGCCCCCCACCACTGGGTCGCGGGTTCGAAGCCTATGTGGGACAGTCGCCGGGTACTGGCCGTAGGTCGGTGTTTTGGGAACTCTGTAACGGTCCCCGTTACAATTAGCGGTTTGTCGGACAAGTAAATGTCATACACGTTTTGAAGTAAGGTGACAGTTATTGTCATACTTTTGATAAAAACCCATCGAGTTTGGTAATGAGATTACTGGTATTGTCATACTGCATGTAAATGTTACAGACTAGGTGACAGTAAAGTATGGAGTATTCCATATATATATGTAGACAGTCCATAGCTGTGACGGCAGTAGTTGTCAAGTCACGCCAATAAGGTTTTGGATGTTGAGGGATGAACAAACATGGTCAGAATGGACATTCCAGCGGTTAACAGCTATTACTCGAATAGATATTGTCGGGTTATTTCAGTTGTTTAGTTTTATCTATTTATCTAAATTTTACTTTTACTGGGTTTAAGAATGTTTCGACTACATATGGGTCGTATGAATTGTGTTATAGTTGTATACTTAATGTGTTATACATGTGTAGTTTGTTTTGATGACTCCTAAATAGACTAAATGGTAATACAGTGCCGTACAATTTGATCTTTGTTCATTTTTCTCCATCTACAATAAAAAAAATCCATAAGGTGCTATCTTTCTTCTTATTTCCAGTGAATATTTTTCGCAAAAATGTGGTTGACTCTGCCGGTGGACTTTCGTTCCCTAGGGTTGGCCACTTGTAAATGGAATGTATTCTGGTACGTTTTACATGAAATACCAGTTTATGTATAGATTTTCTGCTGGAGCCAACAGTTTTAAATCTGTAACATTATTAAGAGTTGTAGCGTTATCTTAACGTTTTGTTCTACTGTAGGCACACACTGTACACGGTTTTCTCATTCTTTGACTTTTAGAACCAAAGACGAATACTCAATGGACGAATTTGTCATATGGTGTCCTAGAGTGTTTAATTTGGTTTCTGCATTTACAAACAACATTTTCAAATGCATGTATGTACTTCCTTTCTCCGTGTTTCACTAACAACGTACGTAAACATCAGGTCTTACCTTTTTGTACCTTGAAGTTTCTCAATCGGATAGTTTATTACATCCACGAAATCCATTCGTTCTGCTCCCGATACAAATATCTTCTCTGCACCCCCGGAATGTCGATATCGAAAGTTAGCGGTAAGTTATTTGATATTGGTTTCAGGTATACAAATCTGACCAACATCGCTAGGTTGATACATGTCCTTTGAAGATAACAGAGAAGGTACGCCCAACTTCAAAGTCTGTGGATTTTACGGTATTTGTTGCGGTCAATTAAGTATGTAATAATAATACTAACTGACATACGGACACGACAATTTCTTTTATATCTATTCACATTTCACGTCTGCCATTTATGAAAATATTAGAAATATCTCTCATTAGGATATTTTCCAGGAGTTCTAATATTTAAAGGAGGTGTGCATTCAAAATGCAATTGTGCCATATTCAAGGTAACTTCTTAGACAGGAGGCAAAAATGAGGTCAACCTTGCCTGAACGTGTTCTTTTCTGATCGTTACCCTTGCATAGGTTTGGGGAAAATACACCAGCTGTATCCCACTGCATATTATCCTAAGAGCCGACTTATGTGCCCAACCCTGCAAAATCGAGGTTTTCCCTATTAGCTTAGGAGACACTGATTTGCTGCCCCATTGAAACATTTGGGAGCTGTAGCGTTTCTTTTCCCATCATTTAGGACAGTGGCTCCATCTACATATGACCTTGACAATTACGAGGACGTTATAACCTCCAAAACAAACAAAATCCTCTAACGGTTCTCAATATTCATTTTATTTTGTTGATGTGTGATTCGCGATGATTATTGAATTCAAGCGATTATGTAGATGTTAATGGTGGGTCCTGTTATTGATCTAAAATCGATTTGTTCCAGTTTATGTGACTGTGTTTATAGATGTAGCGTGCTCTGATTACCTTTTAGTTGTTAATCAGCAAACCAGATACGGACACCTAACATAAGCACAGACATACGTGATGTTGTCATAAATTATGGTAATGGTCCAGGCCAAGGAATGGCGGCAGTTGTCAAGCTTTTGGTCTGCGAGTATCCACATCCTAGGTAAATACACCGAGTTTTCACCTAATGTACACCTTGTAGCGTTCCATGTGTAAATATAAATGTGATACCACAGATGTGTTAGGGTTGTCGAGTGGAGCGTAGCGGCACCACTTTAGGTAGGTTTGACTCTATATATAGATCTCTGCTCCAGCTACAGACGCTGACAATATCAACTACATGGCTGTGTACGCCTGATGATGTATGGGAAACCATGTTGTTTTCACAACAATCTCCACTGCCTTCTACATGTTAAGGGATTTGGACATCAGGCTACGCCTAACCATGTCCAGTCTAATCTGTATTACATACAAAGCTCTTCAGTCTTTACTGTATGACAGTGGCAATCGAAATAGTATAGAGTAGGGGAAGCAACTCCTATATCTGGGATTTTATTTCTCATTCATTACCTGCATGTCACGTTTTAAATGTTTTAAGTTATCAATCCATGCATATCTTGTCATCTTGTATACACTCCATGGCTAACACGCATGTATTTCGTTGTATTACAGATAATGATATCAGAGAGACCATGGTAAGATTATTGACTTTTGATTTTTAGCTCCCCTGGTCCGAAGGACCAAGGTGAGCTTATGGCATACAGCAGCGTCCGGCGTCCGTCGTCCGTCGTCCTGCGTCCGTCGTCCGTCAACTTTACACTACTTGTCATGAACCACTGAGCGGATTTTAACAAAATTTGGTGTGGAGCATCCTTGGGTGAAGAAGAACAACCAATTGTGTATAAATGGTGGGTCTGGCCCCCCAGTGGCCTGAGGGGCGGGGCCAAATAGGGGAAATATGGCTTCTTCTTTAAAATCAGAAGCATCCTTGGGGGAAGGGGAACAAAGTTTTTATAAATGGTGGGTCTGCCCCCCCCCCCCCCCCCCCCGGG